GAGAAGAAATCATCAGCGACCATACAATCGGAGATTTGATTCTCGGCGAAATAATTGGCAAAATTATCAGCAAAATCATGCTCAACACGATGATCACAGTCCGCGTTGGAATACTCGCCGCCCGTACAATCAGAGTCGAGGCAATTTTTGGCAAAATAGCAATCGTTTTAGCCCACAAAATCAATTTCAAACGGCTCCTTTTTGGCAACAACCATATTACTACCCACCGTATATGATTCCGGTGCAGCAACAACAACATATGCATCCACAAACTCAATCTCATATGCATGCACACTCCCAACCCCAACCAGTATTTCATTTTCAACACCAATAAATCTATGGGTGAGATTGAGAGTAGTGTATGTTTCATTGACTTTGTTACGAAAGAGAAGAGCAAGTTTCTGTCGACACTGCGCCTTCTTGACAGTTCTCATATAAATGAGCCCAGAAGCGCCAACTGGTGCAAGAACATGTAATACAACCGTTGTATACCAATAGTATTAAAAGCTTACACGTTGGGTATACTGTTATTGCCTCCCAATGAACACACGTAATACTAAATATTTGTATTTTGTGCATATTTTAATGTAATGCTAAATGTAGCACTAAAAGTGCAAAAATTGTGAAATTTTTGGGCCGATTTAGATAAAATTTTGTTTCTGGGCACAATATGTGTAGAAATTGTGCACAATTTGGGAAAAATTTACTATGCACAATAATTGCACGTGTTTGGCTCATTAGGAGCTGTTTTGAATAGTAGTTCTTTCACATAAAAACATAAAAATCTGCTTGCATTACACTGATATCTCTCTTATTCCATTGATATTTTTTCCAAGAGAAAAAAAAATATTTCAAGCCTCAATTGCACAGCATATCACTATTAGAATCATTGTGTCAACATGAATCAGCCAATAAAAAAAAACAAACACAAACCACACAATGAAATACCACGTTTGTATAAATATAGCAATCACTTGAAGGGAAAAACTAAAAAAAAATGTTTCAATAAAAAACAATATTCTAATATTTTAGAAAATATAAAATTAAATGAAATTTTTGTGTTTTCACGTGTTTTCATCAACATGAATAACTGCGACAAATGTCACTTCATGTTGTCATTGAAACAATCGGAACGTGGAACGTCAACAAATGAACTGACATTTGTTCGCAATTCTTAAGTTACTCTTGTGTTGACAAAAACACGCAAAAACACGAGAAAAATGTTTGATTTTACGTTTTAAAATAACAAGATTAAATTGTTGCATTGAAAAAAAAATTTCGCGCTTTTTAATAAAAATAAACTCAAAATATTTCTTGAGAACAGAAAATCGCTCAATAAGCAATTGACACATGTATATATTTGTATACAAGCTTTTGAATTTGACGTACGTTGTGCTTGTAGTACTTGTTCTTGCACTAGTTGGCGTTGACGTAAGAAGGCATAGCGTCGGTTTGTATGTAATCATTTGAAATTTAAACCAGTTAATTTTCTTTCTATCAATTGTCTTTTTCCTGTTCACAATCAAATTTTCCAATGGTTGGCTGGAGTAAAAGTCTTTCGAACACATTTCAGTCACAATATATTTCGGTTCATTATTTTTTGCCTGTTTGATAACGTTAATCCATTCCGATGGCACAAATATTTTTTCAGTTATGCGTTTTGTTTTTCGATGCGGCCGAATGCACGGTCACAGCTATTGTAGCTGTGACCACTAGTAAAATAACGTTGTTCAATCACACTTAAGTCGCTATTTTTCCAAACGCTCAAGATCTTCTTTATGATTAAAGCAATTTTCATGTTTCTGTTTTGACCGGAGCATGTATCACTCTACAAAATCACTTTGCGCGTGTTTTTTGGGATGAATTGAAAGAAATGCTTGTAAAGGCAAGAACCTATTTCCTGCGCTCCTCGCGATGCAACAGTCTCGTTCCAAATGTACATGTATCCGATATTGCGCACTTCATCATATACACAAAGATTATAGAGCCAGAGTGCCCGCTTGTAATAAGCTTCACTTGTACTAATGCTTGGCATCTCCAATGCGCGCTGTAAATCAAACGTTAACACTTCAGTTTTTTCAGCAGGGTCTTTCGCACGCTCTTTACAATTATCAAAGTCTTTCGCTATTTTCTCTACAATTTTCTTGTGTATTTCCATTTTTCTGTTTAGCTTTCGAATTTTTACACTAATCCCCTCACTGTCGAGTCGGGCATTAATCGCATCACACCTGCGACAGGTATCAACTTTTGGTGGCTTAAAAGCCAGATTAAATTCTGTATTGAACACATGTCTAAACATCCACTCTGATAATGGTTTTTTGTGTCGGAAGTTACACAGTATGCAGTATTCTCGGTACATTCGTCGCGGCTATGAAATCCATACTGACGATATTTTTCGACCTGCCTCTAGTGGTCATGCACACAACACACGTTGAGCGGTCAATATATACACACACTACAGACACGCTATCATAGGATTTATATGGTTTGCGCGAAAGGCTACTTGATTTTCGGCCATGCATATGTGATTGAAATCTTCAACTATCACCACAAGCGTCGTGTCAGTAGAGCTCGTCTTATGTTTACATTGTGTTGGAACAATGGTTTAATCAAGTTTGAGTATGAACACATTTGGTTGATAGGGGCGGTTTTCGTGATACTCAATCGCTGGTCGACAATTTTAAATAAATCTGAAATTCGCGTATTCCTTACATTTGTATTTTGGGTGACGAAGTTTTTTAGGCGCGGGCAATGAATAATATCATTGATGAGACGTCAAAGCTGTCAGAGTGTAAACAATGTTTTTTTTCGCCGCTCTGTGATTTAAGAATTTATTTTTAATTTTTGTCTAATTTTTTCAACGGTTTTTAACTTTCCTTAATTACGACGTGATAATTCAATGTGAAAAGTCATCGGAAAAAGTGGAGTTCACATTAATCAACCGAAATTTACTGAAAAAATCTGATAACTTTCATTTACTTTGCCGCTAGTACCAATAACAAATAAGCATAACCACAAAATGTCAACAACACAACCTCATTGCTGCGAAGTCAACGATTGCAAAGGTATAAGATATAACGGATGGTCAATGAATTGCCGATTTTGCAAAAAGAAAATATTTGTGGAATGTTTACGACAGCGGGATGAGCTAAGAACAAAGGAGCTACTGTGCGTTTTTGGTTTGATGTCCAAAAAACCAGATGATAATGGTGGTTTCCGATGGGAAGTGCTCCAAAATGATCCAAATAAAACAGCAGCGTTTTCTCAAATGTTCAATGTTGACTCACCGTACGGAATTACATGTGAAATGTGTGTCATTAAATTTGAAAATTCACTGAACATTGCATCAACAAGTACGATTCAGCACCAAAAGGAACGGCAACAAATACAAAAAATTGATGAGTTGATTCCAGAATCAGTTGACAAAAAAATCAGTGAAAAACTGAATGCAAACATTACACATTTGAGCGCCTCACAAAACACGAGCAAAATCCAACAAAAAAACATCAGAAAACCAAGAATTTCTCCTGTCAACGGAGTATACGCCATTCATATATCACGAATGCCAATAGAAACCACTCCCGAAGATATTGCCGCTCTTATCATTGGTAATTTGGATGCAAATAATGATTCTTTTATTGTAGAAAAATTGCCAAACAAACGATACAAAGGGAAGGCAAGGTGTTTTTCATCATTCAAAGTTTCAACCTTGTTTCGTAAGATTTGTGAAGGGATCATTACAATGGATGGATGGAGCTCTGATTGCATTTTGAAACAATTCAATTATCCATCGAAAATGCAAAGTAAGACAAGCACAGTTGAAACCGATGCCGTGAAAAAGATGGGACTTCGTCCAAAACTGCAACAAAATGTACAGCAACGAGTCAATTTCAATCGGAATCATCGCAACAACAACAACTATAACAACCGACAAATCAATGAGGCACATCAAAACAATCAAATCGATCGTTGGAGATTTGTCAGTAGGAATGGTCATCGTCGTAATAATTATCGTCCACAATACCGAGAGAATCAGATACTGCCCAATGATTTGGAACATCATCAACACCAAAGAAATCATGTTTCTCGGGTGCAACAACAACAACCAATGCAGCAACATCCAATTCAACAACAATTTTTGCCTAATACGAATTATTCTTTTTGGAATGGAACACCTTATCACATTGCACCACCTCACATGTATGCACAAAACCCGTTACCATACCAAATGCTCCAACCATTTCAAACACAGCAAATGTTCCGGCCATTCTAAATATCCCCAATATGTCACAAAAATCAACAAATACAGGTATTTCACATTGCATAACGATATCTCAAAACGTTAACGGCCTGAAATCCAGATTGCCGGAATTTAATGCGGATGTTATTACAAGCAATGCAAAAATTTACATGATTTGCGAGACAAAGATTGATGACACGGTGCATTCATCGCAGATCTTTCCTCCAAACTTTGCCGTTTATCGCTGCGATCGCTCACACGAGACTGAACAATGGCAAATAACAAAGAAGAAACGAGGTGGCGGTGTTTTGATTGCCGTTGATAAGTCAATAAAATCACAATTGATTGGAACTGGTGCACCGTACGGAGCTGAGCAAGTTTGGACAAAGGTGAAATCGAACAACAGAAACATTTTTCTGATCGAAGTCTATATTAGACCAGACTCTCCTTACGAAGTCTACGAGGCTAACATGAAAGCCATACGTGAAGTGACAGCAAAAATGGACAGTGAAGATGTCATCATACTATCTGGCGATTTTAACCTACCAAAATTATGCTGGTTCATTGACGATAATGAAGATCCTGAAATTGCCATTCCATTGAATGCTACGGGAAAAAAGGAATTGATCGTTCTTGATACGTGCCATGAATTGGGTTTAGTTCAAATAAACAAACATAGCTACCGAAATAGTTCAACGCTCGACTTAGTTTGGACGAATTGCGTTGACTTGATTACATGCCATAAATCCGATTATCATCTATTAAAAAGAGAAGTACATCACCCTTTTGCACTTGAAATTAAAATTCACG